CCACCAGGGAAAGCTGGGGAGGGCTAGCCTCCCACTAGTTCGAATTAAGGGGCTACACACCCCTTAATTCGAACTAGCTAGTTCGAACTAGGCTTAATCCTCGTAAAATGAGGTTTTCCTAGTTCGAACTAAGCGCTCCGCTAGTTCGAATTAAGTTCGAACTAGCGGAGCGCTAGTGTAGTGCCTATGAAAGTTAGTTCAAACTAACGGACGTTAGTTCGAACTAACTCTGTAGTGTAGACATACCCTCAGGGAGCAAGGTCCAAGGCTTGAGGGAGTATTCAATTCTAATAATCAAAACGCAGGTATAACACTGCCTCATTGTTACAGGTGATTGACTCTGGTGGCATGTGGATCTCACATGCTGTGGTCAGAGGCTTAGGACTGTGTGCACTTCTCAGTCTTAAGGAGACTCTTTATTACTAACTACTGTTTTTCAGAGTTTTGACTTTAACTAAGACATTTACTGACATATTGCCCAGTGCAGAGAGCCCTGGGAAAATGTAAGCCAATAGGCTCAAGCACCCAAGGCATAGATGATGTAGATGGTTTCCCAGATCCCATATGAGAAGTAGTATTACAAAACAGACAGAACTGTTAAGTTATAGGATACGAGGGCCAGCATGTTGAAGGATATACTATGGGTACTAGTGTAGAGAAGCTCCTTCATTAGCCTTAGTGAGAAAGGAGCTGATAGTTGGAATACTAAAGGACATTCCAATGCAGAAGTAACAGAATACACATACACAGTCACACACACCCAAACCAACCAATTTCAAACTTATTTTGGCAAGCTCTTTTCTTGCTGGAGAAACAGACATAAGAATGGAAATCTTATCATAGCTTTGGGGGATGGTACTTGGTCCTGCCATGAGGGCAGGGGACTGAACTCGATGACCTCTCAAAGTCCCTTCCAGTTCTGTGATATAGGTATATCTCCATATTAATTAACCTTAATTTTTTGAGAAGCAGTGTATTTTGCCTAGCTCAATCCTACATAAATAACAAAAATTAAGACAAAGCAGAATACTTGAAACAGATGAAAACAAAAGGAGGCAAAAATTAGTTGTATTTTATTTACGGATTAAATTGCAGTTACATAGTGGATTTTGAAATGTATTGTTTACACATGCACACACACACACACACACCTGCACATACTCTTTTGTCGGTGCCATATTCAATTTATTAGCCATGTAGAAATCTGGCAGTGCTGTGGAGACAGCATACACTCAGCCTCTTAGGAAGAATGAGTGAGAAGAGACAAAAATACCTTACACCTTTCTCATATAACTAATGTGCTCTGAGAAGCCTAACTCACTTTAACCAGAGAAGACTGTCAAGATATGGGAACTCCGAGGACTTTTTCTTCTTCTTTCCCCAAATATTTTAATAACCATTAAATTTATGTATTTACCAGATTTAGATCTTCCATGAGTCACACTTGGAGAAATAGTGAGAGACTGTGGTTTCACTGGATCTACTGGCACAGCATAACTGCCAGCACTAGGAACTTGGATGTAAGGCCCCACTGCTGCTACTCTTCCCGAAGCACTGAGAGATGATTGTGGTGATGATGTTCCATTAATACGATTTAACTAAAAATAGACAAATAAAAAATGGTGTAAATGTCTATTTAACTAGTGTGTTAAGAAATAGTATGGTTCAATAATCTAGAGTTACCCACTGCAGACAAGTCACCTCAAATTTGTTAATCAAATTTTATCAAGAAAAGCAGATATCTACTCCACAAAATAGACTTTGCTCACCTGAAACCATACAGAGTTCTCAACCACAAGGAAAATATTTTCCTTCTGTTCAAGGGCTCTGTTCACCTCCAGACATTGTAAGGCTGGGGCTCTACTGGGGCATTAAAAAAATTAAACTAATTTTAAGTGGTCCATCCCATCTGGGCCTTTACCTGGTCATCAGGTGCATGCCATCAGAAAACACACATACGGTTAGGGTGACCAGATAGCAAGTGTGAAAAATTGGGTCGGGGTGGGAAGATAGTAGTTGCCTATGTGAGGCAAAGCCCCTAATATTGGGATGTCTGGTCTCCCTTCATACTGTGTCCAGCATGCAGCTGACCACCATGCTTAATATGTAATGAAAGAGGTACTGGGGCTTAAGCAATTTTTTTCCTTCATAACTATGCAGCAAGCCCAAAGGTTCTGGGGCTATGAACTGCCAAGCCTAGAAATTCCAGGGTTCAGCCCTGTAAACCCTGCCACAAATTAAGCACTGGTTGACCAAGTTACTAATCTATGGGCAGATTATCAAACCACTTAAATAAAATGCCTGTCTTGAGGATGGCAATGTTCATCTTTGGGAACACATATTTTACTAATTCTTCAACCCTAACAAGTGCCCTGATGGAAAGCCAAAAATTAAGACCTCATTTCTGAAATATCGTGACTGCTGCATTTTAAACAATATCCTAGTTCCTAACCTAAAAATAAAAGGGAACACATTATAATCTAAGCTCTTCCTAATGTCTATGATAAGAATGATACAATTCTGGATTTCTAAAGGTTACTATTTTTAAAATAAATGTTTTTCTAACTGTGGTTTTTCAGCTGGAGGAAAAAAAGGTGCATTTTATAACTTTTTTAGGTCGATGAAACAACTAAAATGTGGCCCTTTTAATAGTTTATCTTACAGGAATGTTTTCTTTTTGACGTGCCTCAACTTTTTTCTTGTATAGTCGCTCACGTAGCTCATTGATTCGCTTGTCCATCATAGCCACCTCCATGTTACGTTTGTTTAACAGTTCTTTCTGCTGCTGAAGCTTGGAGTTCTGCTCCTGGTTAAGCCTATTACGAATCTTTAAAAATGTAATTGTTATAATTATAGTAGATACTTTATTTCACCTGCTGTAAGTTATTTTACAAGATATCCAAAGATATGCAGTAATGTAGATCAACTAAGGTCTTTGCTCTAAGACTACACTTCTACAAAGCCTGTTAAGTAAACATTTTCATTGAAATACAATTCTTTAGAAAAAGAGGCAAAAGAAAATGTATCTCAGGAAGCAATTTATATTCATGATTATATGCTGAATGCATCCAATTTATGACAACTTCAAGCATCTAGACATAAAGATGTTTCATAAAGCAACACGGATGAGATGAAAACTAAATCATATATATAATATAAGATAGTAATTTTAAAGATAAAGTCAATTAATTTTTAATAATCTGGATGGTAAAAAATATTAAAAGAAAATGTAAATTTCAACAACAGAAGCCATGCTATTGATTCTGTTTCCAAATCCAAATGAAACCTCTCAGTACATGAATGGGATGCTAACTGAACTGTTGGTGCATAGGCTAGACACTGATTTTCCTCTCTACATGAGAAAGAAGGTGAAGCCTTCATTTGAAGGCTTCTAATGATTAAGGGGTTAAGCGGTTACCTCTACAGTTTAAAATCAATCATGGCATCCTTCAAAATTATTTGTCTTGTGTCCCCATTAGCTTTCTTTGGCACCTCCAATAATTCTGATAGTTTGTCCCATTTCTCCACTTCCCATGTTGATGTTGCATGCAAAGAAACTGAGGCAAATTTTAATCTTGATAAATATGTAAGGGAGTCAATGTGACAACAAGCAACAATACAGTCATCTCAGCAATCTCTTAAGCCTTTCCAGCTCTCAGAATTGTTCCAGAAGTGGAAATGCACCTAGTGTAAGTGACGGGGGGAAAAAGTCACTTATTTTTCAATTAAATAAAAATGTGAATTAAATTAGATTAAGCATCATATTGTGGTGATATAATACTTTAAATGAGGTTTCAGAAAAAAATATTTTAGTGATTGTTAATGAACATGTCCAAATTGCATGAAATCATCACACAAGAATGTCTCTTTTAAAAAAAAAATCATATGAATCTATGATCAAGGTTCAGAAGCTAAGGATAAAAGAAATACAAACATTCCAAGAAAATGAGAACTGTCCAAAAACATCACTTCACATTAGTTCACATTTTAAAATTAATACATATTAGAGCTCACATCTCAACCATGGAACACCAATGAATCGTGGTAAAATGGCATGTAGTTAAATATTTAAAATTTCATATATATAAACCAGAAACCATAGAATTGTAAACAAAACATTTAACATTTTGAATTAATAAGAACACACTACAGTTATAAAGATCTACTTAGAGAAATAAAGTATATGGTAACTTCAAATTTTTCTTGTATTTGCAGTTTATATTTTATTTCTAGTGAGTCTGTTAAATATAATCAGGACAGGCTTGTTATTTAACCCTTATACATTTTAATTATACCATTTATTCACTATTATGTTTTCATATTGCATTTTACGATGGATATTTTCACTGCTTAATCATACTTTCTAGCTACAAAAGCAGTGTATACAGTTTGATATACCTACTACCTCAAAAAAAGAAATTACTAAGATCTGAAAAATTAGTCTGAGATAATAAATTTTAGAAAAAAAGGAAACATATACAATCACTAGTTTACATGCAGAGTTCAATTTCTGCATATACATTCTATTTACTGATGATGAATCCTCTTCAAAATGTTTATAAAGGTTATTATATTATTTACAAGTAAAAAAGTTGTTATAAAAACTGGTTTTGAAAACTAATGAAGTTCCCTTACCTAAGATTTATGTCCTTACAAATTAACATACACACCATCATACTGGTTAATAGGGTTTCCCAGAAAACAAGTACAACACTAGTTGCAACATTACATGGAAGAAGGTAAGTTTTCCCTTACCAAGATACTGTGAAAAATGCCTAAGTTAATGGTTTACCTGTAGTTCTTGGTACAACTTCTTTAATTCCACAGCTGCAGGTCCTGACATCTGTCCATTATAAGTCTGGAATCCATTCAATTTCCCTTTCCTTAAATCCTCCAATTGTTGAGTTAGCTGATCCACTTTTAACACTGCAGCTTGTAACTCCTGCTGCTTTTCCTGGAACATGGCACTGATATGCTCAATTTCAGTAGCTATAATTTAAAAAAAAATACATCACCACAACTAAACAAAATACCAGTACAATTGTCTTGTGTATTTTCATGGTTCTAAATATACAGCTATTGATAACTGTAGTAAACAAGTCCTACATACACAAGCTTTTCCGTAAGTTTAACTTTACAAAACAGTATACAAACTTATGCTTATAACTTGCTAATATAATTTGTAAAAAGCTGAACATATTTACAACATCTATTAATTTAATTTATTATTTAATTAATTCACTTGTGAAAGGGCCTTTTCTAGAAACAGAACAAATTTTCATTTCAATATTCTGTTACTCTACTAGTATCTGCAAGTTACAGTACAAAATATCAACAGTGAGATTAACTATAAAAATAGATCTGAAATATCTACATACACAGATTGCCATTCATGATCTTGCTGTAGTCGACTTGTCCTCTCATGGCACGGATTTTTTTCAACTTTAATTCCTGGGTCTCCACTCGTTCTTTAAGTTTTTGAAGCTTTTCACTCTCAGAAATAGACTGCTGCTGACGGCGCTCTTGCTGCTTCAGATAACGTAAACGTTGTTCCTGCCAAAGCAAGGAGACCACGTAATCTTATTTTAGAGAAATGTTCTTAATAGCTGGATGACAGTAAAACAAAACAAAAAAAAACCCAACAAAACTTGACTTTAAAGAAACCCAAACTTTACTACCAACTTTGGATAGTCTTCTTGCCTCTATATCTTCTCTAAAAAACAATCAGTCAAGATTTGATAGTAAAATGTACATTAGAAAAATCTAGTGCTCTTAGAAAAATCTATTATGAATTGTGCCTACATAAATATCTTAAAAACTAGAAACAGGGAACACTGCTTTTGAAACTATGAAGTCAAACCTCAAAATGTACACCAAAAACAGTTTCAGACTAAACATACATTCCACACATCTGTGAAACTTTCTTAAACATTTGTTTCCTGCTGCTAGCAACATGCTTCCTGCTGTTGCAAAATGTCTTCCAACCCTCCATTACTCAATTTCCCAAAGGAAGCAAACAATAGTCCATAGTGAATTTTAGACAGGCAAGAAAAGGAGATCTGCAGCATGATAAAGTTCTAGCTCTTCAAATGACAACCCATGCACCGAACAACCAGGGAAATGTCCCCCCTCCACCCCCCAATATAATTTCCTTCAGAGAACTGCAAGTACAACGAACATTGTTAGCTTAAATCCATTTAAATGTATTTTAGTCCTGTAGTCCAAGCATACAATATATCCCCTATATATCATATAGCAATTGTAATGGTGTCATAAAATGCTTTACAATTAGGAAGTGAGTCTAGCACAAAGAAATAACAACAACATATTTTAAGATGCATGTAAACAGAAGTCATACTAATATTCCATATCTACCATTTATTATTGTCTACTATTCATTCCATATCTACTGTTTATTAAGCTGTATTGTTCTATATTGCCTGAATTTAGAAGTATTTGTTAATGCAGCAGATTTCTCAGGCTCTTTAATTCAGTGTAGTTTAATTCCAAGTGTTTTTTTCTAAATTCATGAAAATTATATATACATATGTTGAAGGTATACTTATATTTTATGTATGAACATCTTATCTAAGTATTCACATTGTTGCAGTTGTCTCTTCTCCACTTCTTTGTATTTTTACCTTAGCAACCAACATTTGTTGTTGGTTTTCAATCTGTTGCTGTTGTCTGGCAGCCATATCTTGAAGTTCTGAAAGTGTGAGTTCAACACGTGGATTCCCAACCTGCAGAAAGCAAAAAGCAGTACATTAAATTATTATTTGTTTACACAAATTGAATTTTGTGATAATAAAAACCAGATATCAGTAGTCTAAGAATATTTCTAAGTCTGAATTAGAATCTAAAATAAGTTTTCTTTTCTCCCTCTGAATTTTATGCATATTGACTGCAGCTAAAAAGCAACCAGCAAAGGGATTACAAGTGCCACAAATCAGATCTTCCACTAACACAAGATCAGAATTTCATAAAAGGGAGTTACTCACCCTGTGCAATAATGACTGTTCTTTGAGGTGTGTGACCCCGTGGCTGCTCCATACAAGGTGTAGGGATGTCCCAGAGCCACAGAGCAGAGCTTTTTTAGCAGTTGTCAGTGGGCCACAAATGCACAAGGGGAGCCTCGTGCTGTGCTCAGCTTGGCCTGCCCCCCACTTCAGTTCCTCTTCTCCATCTGAGTAACCAGGACTCCAAATAGAGGGGAGGAAGGGAGGGTCATGGAGCACCCACAGGAACACTCACCTCAAAGAACAGTCATTACTGCACAGGGTGAGTAACTCCCTTTTCTTCTTCGGGTGATGTCCCCATGGGTGCTCCACGCAAGGTGACTACAAAGCATTATCTGACACGCATGGTGGGAGTCACTGCTTAGAGGCTGCAGATAGTACCACAGTAGCCAGCGCTGAATCAGTCACCAGTTGCAGCATGATGGCATAGTGCTTAGCGAAGGTATGATCTGAGGACCAGGTGGCTGCATGGTAAATGTCTTTAAGTGCTACGTTGCTGAGAAAGGCCGTAAAAGTTGCAGCTGCACGAATAGAGTGCGCCTTTGGTGGAACTGGCAGAGGCCTGTTACGGAGAGAATGGCATCGTAGTATGCAGGATGAAAACCATTTGGAGATACGTTGTGCTGAAATAGGCGTGCCCTTTGAGAGTGCAATGGATATGAACAGATGCAGGGATTTACGGAATGGTCATGTTCTATCTATATAAAAAGCCAGAGCTCATCGGATGTCGACTGTGTGAAACATAACATCCCTGGGGAATGCGTGAGGCTTAGGGAAGAACACTGGTAGTACTATAGGCTTGTTGATGTAGAAGGCTGTGCAGACTTTGGGTAAAAATGTTAGATGTGGACATAAAGTTACTCCATGGAGGGTGGCATTGAGTTGGGAACTGTGGGGCTCGTATTCAAAGCAGTCCCTTGTGGGAGGGCTATTGGGCTGCTGATGGCACAGATCTCACTGCTGTGTCTCTCAATAATGTCAACATCAGTGTGTGGGAGAGCTGGCGAGAGCTTTCCGGTGCCAATGATGCTCTCTTTGGCACTGAGGCTGAGTGCAACATGGAGGTTGCATTGCCGGTTCAAGCACTCGGTTCCCCCGTACTGGGGTACTCAAATTGTCCCCTCCAGGCACTCTAGGGGATGGAATTGGGAGCAAAGATTTTGATGAGGATGGCTCTTTCTTAGCCCACTTATGGAATGATGGTGAGGTGGCTCTCTTCCTGGGAGGCTGCACCGCCAGTAGAGAGGCTTGAGAGCACTCAGGCTGCATTGTCTTATCAAACAAAATCATGCAAAGCCAGAGCTCCCTGTCTTTTTTCACTCTCGCTGTGAAGGAGCGGCAGATTTCACTTTTCTGGGGTATACGTGCTTCCCATAGGCAGTGAATACATTCCACATGTTTGTCCTAGACCAGCATCGGCTCCTGGCATGATTGGCATTTTTTAAAGCCAGAGGATCCTGGAATTGCGCTGACTGTAAGGGTTGTACGGTCAAGTGCTTCATTGGTGGTGGTCCCATCTCTGTATTTCTGTGTCCATTACAGGCAGTCCCCGACTTACGCGGATCCGACTTATGTCGGATCCGCACTTACAAACGGGGCTTTCTCGCCCCGGAGGTCGAGGTAGCGGATTGCTACCTGCGAGCTCCGGGGCGAGAAAGCC